CTTCCTTGTGGTAAAATATTGCTGCAGACAAATAGATAGGATTTTAACATGGCTTAACTCAAATGAAATCCATGAGGGGAAGTTTGTGTTCGACTCAACAGCTCACATTGGAGAGGGGCACAGGGAACAGACATGCAGGGAGGTGAGAATGTTTTTCCCCCTTGTTCCCCCACGTTCCCCAATGTTTTTCCCTAGCCAGGACCACAACCCAAGTGAGATTGCATGGACACTGTGCATGTGACCTCCTCCTTCCCTGGTGTGAGGTACAGGAGAGTCTCAGATCCTCACAACAAGAAGAAATGCAATTGCAGTGACTAGCTCTGTTATGTACTAAAATGAAAACCTGAGCAAGTCTCAGCTGGGGCCTCAGAAAGGGTTGGCAAAACATTTCTGATCAGAGTGGTTGAAGACTGAAAAGCCTCTTGTGGGGTTTGCAAACAGCCCAGCAATTCTGGTAAGGAACGAGAGAGACAAAATATCGTGCCGAGACAAGCAGGATTCCTGCCCTACCTAGTGCTATGCAGTCAGTGTAAGTTGCTTCACCATGTAGCCTCTGAGAGGAAATGCTGGAATATGAAACTGCTACAAAGTTTGCTATAAGAGCTGGGACAGCCAGGGAGAGGGGTTGTTTGAAGTCCACATGTTGGAATAGTGGTGTTTTTTGTGCAGGTGTTTCAGCAGGCATTTTCCTCTGTGGGCTGTGCTCAAAATGGTATCTGGGAAGCCAGCTCAGAACCCAACCTAACGATTCCCTAAATTTTCAGGGCTGTTTTCTCTGGAATAACTTGCTAGTCTTTTCCAGAGAAGAATGCTGGGAGTAATTTGTTCTTTACAGAACTGAGGTAGTTAATTCTTTTTTCAACCTTCCCTTCAATACTCTTAAAATATGGATAAGGCTGTTAAGACAAAAGGGAGATGTTCTGTATGTCTACTGGGTAAAAAACAAAAAGATAAAGCCTATATACTAGGAAACATTTTGAATGATTAGGGCTGTGGAAATGGATGGTGACGAGAGTATGGAATCTTATCACTGTTAGTTTCTAAGAAGAGGTTAGAGCAGCTTCTACCAAGGTAAGCCAGGCTGACTTGGTCCAAGATCAAGTAATAGGTTAGCTGACATCTCAAAATCTGTCCTATCTCCACTTGCGCTTTTTGTTCTGAGAGGAATAACACAAATATCTTCTATTGACATCCAGTCTTTCAATCCAGCCTGCCTCCCAGCCAAGGCAGTAAAGTGGAATCAAACCAGCTGATGGAAGAAAGCACATGGAATGAGTATATTGCAGATTAGTGCAGAAAACCCGGAAGAGAAATTGTTATGCAGTAGAATTTAGGAATCTTCTGTTTTACCCTGCCAGGTTAGACTGAAGCCCAAAAGGATCTTTGCACCTTAATGTCACTCACCAGAAGTGTTTTGGAGAAGGCCCCAAAAAGCAGAATTTAGCCTACAAATTAAACATCAAATGCAACCTTATCTGAGTTGAGTCCTGCTATGCCAGCAGAACCTGGCCAAACCCTGGCTAAGGACACAAGTTTATTGAACTTCTTAATGAAGAGAACCCCCCAGTTATGTTACAGTTATACTAAAACAAATAATTTGCTTGTAATTACAGAGATAATGACATCCTGACCACACCTACCAATTAGAAAGTTGTAATAAAGAGTAATAAAATACCTTTTCCTTGGGCTGCAGAATCAACCCCCACACAGCCCGTGACACTAATATGATTTACTCCTATTTGCTGATGGAGGATTCTAGTAATAAAATTTAATGTGGAGGAACAAGGTGCATTTAACCAAAGTTGTAAACATACCTAATTCTATTTAAAGCTATAGGGTGCAGTACATTAGCATTTAACAATCTAATACTAAATTGGTGTGAAGCTAATAGAGCTGTATTTGTTAAAATTACAGCACTAGACCATGTTTTACCAATGACAACAGAAGGAGTAACCAAAATAGTATGACTCAGCAGACTCCAGCTGCTGCTTAATAAGGTATTAAGAGTCTTCATGGGAGCTCCTGTCATAAAAGAACAGTGGACTGCATTCAGCTCCACTGCTGTTCTCCTGAAGCCAGAGAGAGTTAGGCCAGGGATTAATTTGCCCTTGCAGTTCCTCTTAGAAGGAGCTAAATCCATTTATTCTGCAATTCTCACACTAAAGCATATTATACGCAGTGAAATTTTCTTCTCTGTAGTCTTTCAAGTGAATTGCTTTGATACTTAAAGATGTGCAATTAATTGCAAGGTAAATGATGATGTTTTTCTTTCTCCGATGATATGATCTGACATTATTAAATCTAGGTGAACATTGAATAAGAAAAGGCATAAGAAATGTCTGCTTGGGAAGATGGGTGTTCTCCCAAGTAATATTTCTGGCCTTGTTTCACTCAGCTGGTCTTTTGTCTTTCAGGATTTTGCTGTCATCAAGTTGTTTACAAATGGAAAACATTTGAAAAGCCTGGAGTTTTCTGAAGAATGAAAAATTTAATTCCAAATACTGGGATTTTCTAGGTGCTGAGTAAGAGATAATCGCATATCCTTGAATCGTTCTCTAGGAAACAATAAATCCTACACAGACTGAAAGAACATATCTTACAAAAAAGGGTAATTTATTCAGCTCAATTAACTATTATTTTTGGGAATTAGATATCAAACATAAACAAGTATATATAGGATATTAATACATAAAGAGTGGTATTCATTAACATGCTGGGCATCAATATACAGTAGAGAATTCTTCTGAACAATGGGCACAATGGCCAGTTGCATGTAAAAGGAATGTTTATAGCCAAACTTAAAAGTGTTCACAACTAAATGGTTAAATCACTTATGTGTTAGCATTTTATTTTTAATTCCAAAGGAACAACTAATAAATTCTATACCTTTTAAAGGCCTTTTGAACAGCTGTATGCATAAGAGATGTCCTCTCTGAATAGTTAGTTAAACTCTGGCTGTTCCAAAACTGATCCCTGATTGTTGGATCACTCTTTAGCACCAGTTTGGTTTTGGTCAATGAGTTGATTGCTGTTGTCACTGTAAGTCCAGCACCCAATCAGAGAACAAGGAAAGATGCCATGCCCTTTTGGTGGGTGATTAACTCCTGGGATAATGAAAAGGTGAAACAGTCATTTTCTTGACAGCTCACAAATGCAAACATTAAAAATGCAAATAAGTATTAGCAAACCTATCGATAAAAACTGGCCTTAGTTTGGAAAGAACTGTTTTGATGAAGGACTAGAACTGGAATTAGTACTGCACATAATGATCAGCCTAACAGCTTTTCTTAATTCTTTTCCATAGAAGAGATTTTTATCTAATGCGGAAGCAGGTGACTGCATTTTATGTTTACAGATCCTGGCTAGGCAGTAACAGATTACGTGTGCTGCCTAATCTCTACCTCTGTTCAAAACAGTTAAAAAGCAGTTTACATAAACTCACTTATTTTGGTGAAACCCTACAAAAGGCAGTGATGTGCTCTCTCCCTTGGTTGCATGTCCCCGTCCTTGCATCGTTGCCCCTGCCCTCCTCTCCTGCACTCCCATGCAGTAAGAGGAACAAGGGAATGAGTGTTCCTGTGATGATTCTCAGCTGTGCTCTGAGCCCTGGTGCGAAGTTGTGCTATCACTAAAAATGCATGACCTGTAAGGGAGAAAGCAGCTTGGACAACCTTGGTTAGGATTCCAAAACCCAAGGCCTGAAAGTGCTACTCCAAAATCCACATAAAATGCTGCTGAATGAGTGGCCTGTCACAGGGCTCCACCCCAGACCTGGAGAAGACCTGGCACATGCCAAGTATCAGATCTCCATGACCTGATGGCGAGCTAAAGAGTCCATGCTTTAACCTCTCCATGAACTCTGCAGTTACTTGAGGGAGTCCCAAGGGCTGAAAGGTGTTGGGTATCAAGCTTTCCCTGAGCTCTGGTGAAATCTGGACACTGGAGATACATGAGCTTGAAAACATCAGTCCAACTATGCTTCATGACTGAAATGCCCAAGAAGCTCATTTTCCATGAATGTGTATCAAAGGAAAAGGAAGAATGCCTTCTCAGTTATCAAGAGGTAAAGAAAGAGAAAGGTAACTTTGTGTCCTCACATTGGGCTGATTTCCCTATCTCATGAGCTCTGGCCTTTCCAAAGAAATAGCTCCAAAGTAAGTCAGCAGGGTGTTATAGAGTCTGCTCCATACTAAAGGAAAAACTGTGTGATTTTTTCTCTAAATCAGCAGCTCAGTAATGCAGGCCACAGGAGGAACCTTTTGCAGGTTTGGTAGCACCAAACTAAACCAAGGCCAAAAGCAGTGTCCTGGTTCCGCCAGTCTTTTACTCACATCATGTTTTTCCTATTCCTAATCAGAATTAAAAAAGATCGACTCCTGGAAAATGTTCCCAAGCTATAAATATTCTTCCTTAAATCACTGGGGTTTAAGTATAAGTGATTCCTTTGGAATATTTTTGGATATTTTATTTCAAGTACCTTACTAAAAGTAACATAAGTTTTTAAAGACAATGTCATTTAGGAATGGAATTTGAAAACATAGAAGACCAAGCTTTTTAACTATTTCTGGAGGGGAGAAAAAAGCTGAAAAAAGTCTCAGCTTTACTGAGTTAATATTTTTCTGATGGGATAAAATGCATTAAAGTGGCCATTTTCCTAGCCAGTGGTCTTTGCCTTCAGGAGCAGGCTGATGGGCATGGATCCTGCCACTAGTCCTCCTGAGGCTTTGTTAAGATGTTGATGTTTGCAGCTGTACTCTTCCCATTAACCTTAAAGAAGGAATAATGTATAGTGTGAAAAATGCCCCAAGTGGAACTTAGTTCATTTACAACAGGGGTACAGAACTCTACAAGGGGTATCACTTGTAGACCAGCTGCTTTTTCTATGATTACTTTCAACTACATGGTGTTTAAAAGTCTCACAGAAAAATAGAAGTGCATGAATGGAAATAAAAAAATAAGGACATCTGTATGATTTTTATAAATAAACAGTACAGCAAGAATTAAATAGAACACAGACATAAGACATTTATACAGGCATGAACTATTACAGCTTGTTCTCCTCAAAGAGTATCTGTGCGTAGACTGTCGTACTGGAAATGCCTTTGGCTTCCTGAATCGGCTTCATAAGTTCAAGTTCAGCATATGTTAAATTCTCCTCTGCGATTTTTGGCTAGAAAACAAAACCAAGAAATTAATTATAATGTCATTACCACTGAATGTAGATATTTTCTACAATGGGCTATATTTCTTCTCTCACTCATGCTAATTCTACTATGCTGTTAAATTCTATCTATGCTGTTAATCAGTTTACTCTGCTTTACAGTTAGTTCATAGAAGATGAAATAAAAATAAATAACATTAAAAAAAGAAACAAGAATAAGTAGGCTTTTCAGGTTTGTTTCTAATTTCTCCTTGTTTCAAAAGCACTGAACATTTTGACAATTCAAATATTGCATATTTAAAAGATGTATGTTAGCAAAATATTCAGCCTCCTTAATACTAAATTTCCTGATTTTATATATGGCAGATTTCAGTTTGAAAGATATATGCCAGATTTACTTCCCAGCTGTAAACCTTGGACCAGTTACATCTCTAATCACAGTCGCTCACAGTGCCTCTCAGTATGTTTCTTAACGGAACAAAAAAACGTTAAAAATACACGGAAGGCAGGAAAAAATTGACAGAATTACTACCATTCCAGTGGAATTTCACCCCTTTTGCCAAGCTATAGATGAGTTCAGAGTTTAGCACAAAGGCCATACCACCAAAGCTGTCTGCTGTATTACAGTGGTTGAGTTTTAGACTTAAAACTGTAAAATTTAGCTAAGAGAGATGTCTATAAAAATGTACCAAACAAATTTCACATGCATGGCAGAAGCTGCCTACTGCTATTGGGGACTTCATCCAGTCTCAGGTGGCTTAGAGGAGGAAAATCTTGTCTTGTGCTCCTGTGCTTGACAGCTGCTCACACTCAGCGTTTCAGGTTGTTTCACGGAGCTTGGAAAAGTTTATGCTTTTCCAGCATTAATTTGACCTTACTCCTTCTCTGCAGATCAGATCCTCAAATACTTTATCCATTTGCAGGGCTGACCTCCTGCAGGACTGGCATCTCTGCACTTCAGTATTCTCATGGTCTTCCCTCCCTCCCCCACTTGCATAGGTAGTGCTATTTGATCTCAGCTTCTGGTCCTCATTCATGATTAAATGCTCACTGTTGACAACACAGAAAATTTCCTGCTTTCATTGAATTCTCTGATGTAATGACATAAAAGGAATTCCTGTGGATCACAGACAGATCTTGACTGTAACAGAAATAAAATCACACATATATTTTCGTTGTTAGTGTATTAGGGCTGAACTGAACGGGAGTGTTTAGAAAGACATCTGCCCTATCCTGGCCTTGGCTTAAAGAGTTAGAAAAAATTCTTAATCGGCTGCTGTGATGCTTAATTAATTTTTATATTCCCTCTTCTTTCTATCCTGAAAGTATTAGCCTGTGTTTCCAGGCACTTAAGTTGTTTTTTGCTTTTTTATATGTTAAAGATTCCTTTTGAGATTTCAAAGCTATATATGTTTATCTATTCAGTAGGTAGTACAGAGGCTAAATGCAGAAGTTGATTTTATTCTCAGTGTATGATAGCATATCTAGTTTCTATTTGAAGGTATTGGGAGTTTTGCTGCCAGCTTCACTGGGTGTCACATCACTCTCAATACATAATGATACACTGCATGTGAAAAGCCATAAAACTTTACAAACAAACTCTTGGTCACTGCCAAAGTAAAACTCTACATTTCTAAGACTGACAAAGAGCATCTGTTGAGGTAGAAATGTTTTCATTGTTCTGTAGGAATCAGTTGCTCAGGGCAAGCCAAATCTGTATATGCTTTCCCCTTTGCTGTTTAATCATATTTCTTACGTTTCCATTTAGAAAATGCTACTTGTCCTAAAATAGCCACCCCAACACCCAGCTCATGTAAATTTTAGAAGTAAGATTTATGAAATCATATTGTCCAGGTGTTTTATTATATTATCTCAAAATTGCATTGTTTTCCAGTGTAGATTATCTTTTTATTCTTACTTTATTCTATTATGTTTGGATATGAAAAATAACACTAGATTCCCCAAAACAAGTCATTGGGCAGTAGTGGCTGATGTGTTGCTTTCATACATTTTTATGATGTTCCTATAGTAAACATAATTTAATAAAGCCAAAACACACTAAATAAATAATTGCATCTAGAAAAGCAATAAAACCAAATAAAATTAGTACTTTCATAAGTGGAAAAGGTACTTCAATTACTGCTACAAGCAACAGCACACCATAAAATGTGTAGAATAATTTCCCTTATGCATATTTCTAGTATGTAATAATTTGATTGAAAATATGAGGAAACACACAGGAGGTTCAAAATTGTGAAAGGTATACAGTTTTCAGCAAAGGATGTGTAATAACAGTGCATGGAAGCCAACACTACTCTAAGTACCTATGGTAGCCAGGGTTTTATTCCATACACTCTTCTGCACTTCATTTGTCAACCACATGTTTAATTTAATTTTGCTGGTTTGTTTGTCCAAAACCAATTTTTTTTTGAGCAGAGAGGGAAAGAAAACTAATTCTACCATTTCATCTCTCATTTGGACTGGATCGTGTTTTGGCAGTGTAAACCTGGAACCATGCCACCACCTCCTCTTTGGAACAATCGTGTGACTTTAATAACTGACGTTATAGGTGGGACGGATGGCAGGGCAGAAGAGGAAGAGACAGTGAATGACTGGCCATACAGTATTTATCTTGTATGTCTGTTTTCTCATCTTGGGATCACACGCTTTGCCACAATTAGGAAGAGTCATGATTTTCCAGTGTATCTTCTGGCAAATGCAAAATGATTCCTCTTCCAGATTTCTTCCATTTTAATTTTAGTTTATTCCAGTCACAGGGCTTCTCATGGGCAACTACTCAAAAGAGTTCACTTATAGGAACATTTTTCTTTTTGAACTATCTGCAAGGTTTATCATGTGAATATTTAAAAGAAACTAAAGCATGTGTTTATCTAGTTTTGGTTTTTATTGGGTTTGTCTATTTTGTGTTAGAAATTAATTAGAAGAGTTGAGTTTTTAATCAAAATTATTCTGATTTTTATGTCATAATTACCAGGAATGTCAATTTTGCTCTCCTAAGCTTAGCTAGTTTGTTTCTTGGCAGCCTCAAGGATGTTTACTGATTTAACTAAGAGTACTTTTATCCAGATTTGTAATCAGGTATGAAGAAAACAAGCAAATAAAAATGTCATATATTTAACATGTCTGGAAAAACAACTGCTGCCAACTTGCACTTACAGATTGCTGTAACCTCACTGTTCCATGACTACCCCAGTTATCATGAAGATGACAAAAAAAAGTGAATTTCTAATTATAAAAGAAAAAATCCTTGATTCTATTTTACTATTAAAAACAAGCAGAAAAGGCCTGACTTCCCAGTTCCTTTCAATCTTAAATATTTTAAAGACTAGTGCTGCAGACATTTGCCTTCAAATTCAGTCTCTATATGATTAATTACATGCAATGCAGTTTTTGTTTGGGATATGATACAGAATGACTTTTACACAGGACCAGGAAAAAAAAAATAAAAACAAACTATTGATGAAACTGAATTTTCAGCTCTGAGTTTTCTGGATTTGACAAGCATCTGTCCCAAATTGTGTCCCTGCCCATGGCAGGGAGGTTGGAACTAAAGATGATCTATAAGGTCCCTTCCAACCCAAGCCATTCTGTGATTCTATGAAATTCCAGTTAAAGCTTCACAGTATTTTTAGTAACTCTGATTTCCTGCAGGAACACTTGAAAATGAAACTCCACCCTCACTGGCATGCCCTGCGCTCATGGGTGAACGGGTTAGGTCAGCAAGGACAAACCTTGACAATTCTGCATATGTTTGCTGGTGTGATTGCCAGTACATGGCAAATTGCCACCTATGGTCTGGCCATGCTGTACTGTTGGGTGCTCACTGTGGTGCCGGGGGATGCTGTAGGAAGTGCAAATGGGAAAGGTACAGAATCAAGAGGTGGTGCTAAGGCTTGTTTGACAAATTTCTCTAGAAACTGCACTTCTCTCCAGGTTACTCCACAGCACAAAGAAAGCAGCCTTGCCCCAGTGCCATTAACTAGCTCTTTCTTAGCAAGCACATCCTGGAACTACGATTTTTCTCTCTCCTTTTCTATTGCAAAATCCAAACTTGAATCTTTGGCCTTCTTCCTTTCATGTTTGAGAAACATCCTGTTTTGTAGTCAGTCGGTAAAGAGCTCCACAGGAAAAATGCAGATACTGTCCAGATGGCACAGCTCAGGAGCATCCTGTGTCACAGCCTGAGCACACTGCATCAGAAAGTGTCTAGACAGGACTCTCCAAGCCAACTGCATGGGCTTTGACCACAGGAACAGATTTTTGGTTCTCTCTGCCTGAACAACCAGAAGGGAGGAAACTGCATGCTGTATGCAGCCTAAGGAAAAGGGGGTAGCATATCTCCTTTTCATAAGCATCTGTTTTTTGAAGCTGTGGGAGGGGATGGCATATGGCTGCCAGCTTGGCCATCACTGGAGGGTCAGTCACGGAGGTGAGGGTGGATTGAAATAAAGATCCAGCATGTTTGGTGGACAGGCTGAGCCACCAGGACCAGGGGAGAGAGCACATGTTAGCAGTGGGGGTAAGCACTATAACTTCAGAGACAAAAGGATTAACCTATGATAGTCCTATTTTTAAATATACACTGCAAAACCAGTCTATAATCTATAGTCTTTCTTGTGCTGAAATCAGTAGTGTTCACGGGGGCCATAGATACACTTTATGCTCAAACCCTATGAACTTCAGTGGGGTGACTCCCTCATTAAGGTAATAACTCAGGAGTCAGAAAGAGATTTTCTATTTTTTTTTTTCTAAAGAGCTTCAACTCTTTACCAATGTCAGTGACGATTGCAGCCAGAAAGCCAGAGATTCCCCTAGAAACAGAAGAGCTTCAAAAATTACTTCTGCAGAAGTTCTGAAGCTAGATCTGCAAAATGAGTTATCTTCTAAAGATGCAACTACTGGCCAGTAAGAGTGCTGAAATATCAAGAGAGGTGTTCAGTGCCAAAACTAAGAAATATGACTTTGGAAAATATGGGGATTAGGAAGTA